CGAAGGAATAGCGGTAAAAGGTTTGCAGTTTTAAATGTTTCTGCAAATCCCGAAGTGGAAATGTCAGGAAGAATGCTAATTAGTTTTTCCCTCGTTCTCGGTAAGTGCATTGAGCAATCCGCAGCGATTGGGAACTGCATCAAGCGGAAAGTAAGGATACAGCAATGAATATCGAAGCGGATGGTCTTTCTTACTCTTCGCAAAGGTCTAGGCGGAGAAATTCCACGCGGCGAGCCGGCTATGGGGTGTGTTTTCCCGAAGATCGAATCTGGCTTGAAACTCTCCGGATACCAACTTTCCCGTGGCGCGATTCGCAGGCGATTCTCGGAGCGAGAGTAGCCCAGTCAAGCCGGTTCGCCAATTTTGGTTCAAAAGTCTCTATCCTGCGCGAGGTGTCGCCTTAACGGTAGATCGTAAGATTAAGGTCAGTCTCGGGTATCGTGAAACGTCAGGCGGATGTGTCTGCCGTGAGACGCTGCAGCATCACGATAGAAAGCGACCGAACAAACGTTTCTGTCGATGTGTTCGTGGCAGGTGCAAGACGCAATATTTGGACAATTGTGCGAATTTAATAATGCATATACTATCTGCGACGTTACGCATTTTTATAAATTGTCAATCATAACATCAAACTGGAAGAAGGAAAATGCTATCCAACAAAAGTACAAAAACGTTTCGAGTCACACCTCGACGTATGTCCGAATGATTCTAAGATTGTAACGATTAAATTTACATTCGACAATTTGAAGAGTAAAATATGTGTCATGTTGTGTCTCGATAAAAGTGGAATAAAAGCAGCTTACCCGAAATGCCCGCCACTTTCGCCACTTTGTTAATCTTGATCTCACCAGATTTGTCACAACGTAGAAAGCGCGAATTCGCGCAATCACTGTGCAAAGGTAATCTCGCGTTTGTCGACGCGTCAACGACAAGACCACGAGGCTTCGTTAAAAGAAACCCACGCGCGCACTATCGACTACGGAATCAAGAATCGAACTGAGACGGTACGGTTGAAGCGCGCGAAAACTGTTAAGCTCTATCCCCATCCATGGCATCCCGGCGCCAAGAATAAACCTGCCAGTCCTCCCCACCACCACCATAAAAACCACGTATATTGTGTCGCTTTCCACCCTTTTTGCTGCTCTTTCTTTTGTGTCACATTTGTTTTCGTCGAGCGACACCTACTCACCGATAAATAAGATATATTTATTTAACATGCCGTCATCTTTTCTTGAATGTATCTTTTAATTACCGTTTCATTCTCAAAAGTTATATTTGATATTTTCGGCTTTCACGATGTTGAGAAATATTTAATTTCGCTTCAGTTTCGGGTCATTCCTCGACCTGAAGAGTGAACTGAAATGTTCACGAAACATCGGGAACAAATACATGAATAAAGCGACGCTAACTCGGAAACCAAATTAACCCTCTAATGGCAAGGTGGATTTTCAATGTATCCAGGAAAATGAGGATTGGATCCGACCCCATGCTCTGTTTTGTTCATTTTTCATATAATCAATGTACGAAATAGGTAAAAGAAGTGAATAATAACGTGAAACATTCCTTAAAAAGAGAAACAGCGCGCGCACGCTGTAAAATAAACGAGTCGCGGGGTTGCATCCGACATTAATTTCGGAGGGTTAAGCAAAATTAGATTTATCTTGATTTGAAAATCGGAAAATTACTTTCCCCAAAGGCCGACATCGATTTCCCGTCGGCGCAACGACTTTCCCTTTCACGAATTCGATCTCCATAAATGTTCACCCCTTTCTTCCCGCCTCTCTCCCTTAAACAGGTCGTCTCGAGAAATGAAATAAATCCGTTCCACGTGTAAAATTACCCGGAAACACGGGACATTCATTACGCTCCTGGCCGGGTTCGCGCGTCACCGATCGTAGAAGGAGCTTGAAAACTTTTTCGCGCCGCCTCGCATAACTCAGTGGGTCGTTAAAGTGGATCGTTCACGGAGCGCGCGAGCTCGCTGCCCTAGGAGACTTATTTTCTGTCGCGTGGGTGCAGCGTGTGGGCATCGCGACGCTTCCGTCATTTCGTCACGATGGGAGTTCGTTACACTCGCCGATTCGCCGACGGCGAAAAGGGTTTCCGTGCCGATAATGTTGTCCCGCGACGTGGAAACGCGTCCCCGCCGACTCCTTTGCTTTCACTTGGCCGCGAGGAAAATCGCGACGAGCGCGGGCTCGCATTAAATCGTTAGACAAAGTAGCGACGCAAATCGAAGACTCTCGGGCGTCAATTGATGCGGGCGCGCCCGCTGGCAACGAACCGTTTCGATACTTGACAGCGCGAGTGGGACTGGAATGATTTAAGTGTGATTTAGAACGTCTGAGCTCGACGCGCGCGCTGGAACAATTAAGGGGGGGCGGCTTGGGAAATCGTGCGTCGCCGTCTATTGAGGTGGTTGAGAATGGTTTACAAGTCGCGCGCGTGAGATCGAGCTTCTCTCTTGAATCTCGAGCGCTTTGTTTATCGGCGTAGATACGGGAAACCCTGACGCGAAAATTCGATGACGCTATTAACATGCGAATTCTGTGCGTGTGCGTGAGAGAGATCAATGTTCCTTTTCCAGTGAGAGATCGACCGTATTTCGCAATTCAACCAATTCTCCCATGATTCTCATAAAACCTCGTGCTCTGTTGTTTATTGGAGTAAGTGTGGCAAATTAATTAATGGTTTAATTAAAATATGAGTTCTCTGTGCGCGCGCGCGCGAGAGAGAGACCAATGTTCCTTTTCTTAACAAAGGTCCAACTATATCTCGCGATTCATTAGATTCTTACATGTAACTATAACCTTCTTCGATAAATGGGATTTTTCAACAATCCCTACTCTGGACGCAAGAACCGACACAATATACAAATCCAGGCGTCGAGTTATGCGGAAGAATCTCAATGATCGATCTCTCTTCCTGACAACGGCAGAGTACACCGATCTCTTTCGCTCGCGGTGCCGCCCGGTTATCGAGAGGTGGAATTGATTCCAGTTTGGTCACACCCTTCAGTCCTCGGCAAACGGGGGTGGGTATCTGGCAGATGGGTCGCCGGCGGTATTGCGGTTAAACTACCGGCATCCAATCGGCCCAACCCATTCACCGATCTATCCGTCTCCCTTCAGCCGCGCCGTCGTGCCCCTCACGGGCACCCTCTATCTTTCTTTCCGGTCTCGCCCGCCGTCACTCTCCGTCCCGTAACGAACGGCGTCGATTTAGCATCGCGAGCAATTTGGGTCACAGCTTTATTGGAACCCGCCGGCCGATCGCTAACGAAACGAATTGACTCCGAGAGCGTCGGTCGCTCCCGATGTCGCCGACGCGTGCTTTTGGGGGAATCATGTCGATGACGCAATCGTCTCGATTCAAGTGTTATAATGAACAGGGCAAATCGCTACGTGGGATCGCCACTGTTTTTCGCTCGGCGTTTTCTCCGTAGAAGCCACGTAACGAGCCCGAACCTTCTTCTTCATGGGCTTTAATTAATTTTAATTACGCAATTGCCAACACTATTAGTGTTGCTAACACTATTAGCCTAACCTTTGATAATCTAAGGTCGGATCTGAAACGAAACGGAAGAGACGTTTCTCTCCGCGGAATTTTCCCAGAAACACTAAGTAACGTAACATCAATGCTATTCCCGCTCAACAATGCAAACGCAATATGACACGCGTGTGTTATGTAACAGTTACTTTATTGAGTGGGAAGTTATAGTAATATTGATGTTATTGATGGTTAGTGTTTACTGAATTGTAAGATTATTTTCGTGGTATTACGGTGAAATTAGAGGAGCTACATTTGTATTTAGGAAATTTCGCCATAGTAATATTGTTTCGCGGGATTTCGTTCTCCGTTCTCTACGATTTTAATCATCGCTCACGTTTCCCGCGATTTCTCCAGGAATATTCTCGATCGAACATCAAACGGAGAAATATATCTCGTGCCGTATGACTACTTCTTACGGCCGCGTTAATTATCCCGGCGAGAAGCCGCGCCGTTGCAGCGGGGGACGAAAGTGAAGATGTAAATAGGCGACGATGGGGTTGAAACGCTCTACTCGGAAGCGGCTAACGCGATGGACCTTGCCCATCCATCGGGCCGACCTTTGATCTATTTCCAGCCGTGGAAATCGCCCCCGTCGCGATAAACCGCCATTTTCCCTCCACTTGGCAGAACGTATTTCCGGCGGTGTTAGTCAGCCGATCTAAATGCACTATTCTACTAACTGCCGCGTTTTCGTCTAGCTCGTCCTCCCTCCTCCGCCGTGAACGCCGGCCAAGTTGTATTTCTGACCAGCTCTCGCTGTCAGATCGAGGTTAATTGGGTGTCATTACGTCGAAAATTAGCACGAATTAGTCGACGACGATGAGCTCCTGTGGCGTGCATTGTAAATCACGGCTTATGCGATATCGGTGAAGTAATCGACGAGCTCGTATCGTTAAATTCATACGAAAGATGGATGGATATCCATTCGTAGGAAGCGCGTTGTAAACAAGCGATATATCACGGCGGGGATCCTGTATCAGTATTGTTTATATATTTACATTCGTACTACATGTTTTAGTGAAACTTTTTGAGTGAAACGCGTTGACTGACGTTAGTATAAATGCCAAATATCCCGTTTTAATTCGAGGAGCTCTCTTTTTTTATCAAATGTTTTGGAACACGCATATCCACGTGTATTTTCTGATATTCATATATGTATCTCGATGGCGCGGTAGTAAAAAAAATTAACATCTCGATAAATAACATTTTTCATCTCTATCCCTGCATATCGAATTATCCGTTTATAATTTCGACATATCGAGGTCGATATTGCTGTCCGCGATTTTAAGGAAATAATCCAGTTTTGTTTAAAATATAAACTCCATTTGAATGATTTCGCGCTATATTGCAATTAATCTTTTCATCGGGAACATGTATTTTGTGACAGGAGAATCTCAAGATAAGGAAGTAGATCGTGCTCTTTTATCGCGGTAGAAAAAGCAACTCACCGTCATCGCTGATCTCGAGATTCGTGTAGCTGTCCCAGTGCAGGATGGGATCGTGATGTGCCGAGGCATGTGGCACAGCGGGTGTCGGCGCCGGTACTGGGCCGTCCTGACGTTTCGCGTCGGTAGCGAAGTAGAGTGTCACCACGCTGTCGGGCGGGCAGCGAGGATCGTCGCAGGCGATATCGAGCTCCGATCGCGGGAAGGACACGACGTTCTCCGTAATTACGCAAGTATGGAACTGCGGAAACAATAATGGTCGATGTGAGAATAAGTGCGACGTAATCGCCGACAACTCGTTTACTAACACAACGCCAGTCGTCGGTCTTTCGCAACGTCTTCTCGCTTTTTTCTCATCGAGAATTGTAGCGCTCAACCGCGTGCAAGATAAATGTCAATAAAATGTCAAAAGGGAAGGGAAACTCTCTGTAAAATTTTAACATTTCGTTTTATTCGATATTTAATTTAATTTCATATTTGATTTATAACAATTAGTATGCGGGTTTGACCTTTAATATTGATTATCGTCGGTTCCGATGCAAAATTTCTATTTAGGAGAGAATCGACTGCAAATTCATCAGAAAGAACGTTGCGATTTTTCATGCGGGTCGTATTCATCGCATAAATCACTGCGGCATACAAATGAGTGATTTTTTATGTTATCGTCGACAAGGATAAGCAAACGTTTGCAGTGTAATTTGAATCAAGCTGGATAGGTGAAATCTACATCTGTGTAAATCTTGTTTATTTAATGAGATAAAACTCAAAGCAACATACAGTGATCGATGTGTTTTTCTACCGAGTTTTTACGCATTTTCCCCGGCGATGCAGGATGAAGTATATATCCCAGGTATTAACTGATTATGACGTTACGTCTCGATTTCAAAGGATATTGCTTGCCTACCGGGCACGAAATTACTGTGCAAACGTTCGCCGCGTCTTTTCCAAACGCGTAGATCTAGTAGATCGCTGGCCTTGTAACTATTTATGAAGTACTTTGCATCGACTGTCATTCGTGCCACTGATTTCATACTGTGTCACTTGCGTGCTACAACGTGTTCGTCGTTACGACGCATGTACATGCGACGAATACAAATGACACCGGAGTAAACGTTCACTCGGCCACGGCTTGATTTATATATTTTAATGCGCGCGCGCGCGAGTGCTCCTTCGAGTTACCAAACACCGTTGCGGAGGAGCGGAAAAAAAAAACGAGAGATTTCGCGAGAGCGCCATCCACCGTGAAGAAATATTTCTTTCTCGGCGAAAGGTTTATCGAGGCTTCAAGAAGTATATCTTTATTATTGCGTATTGTATTCTCACCTGGAGGGAAAACATGACTTCTCGGGTCTGCTTCGAGTACACCCTGTGATAACACTTGACCAAGATGTCGCCTCTCAGCCGGAGCCCGCCGAGATTAACCGTGAATTCGCGCGCGTTCGTCACCGAATACAGATCCGACGTGTAAACCGGCGTGAGTCCTTCGTATACTTTGAGGAAGGCTCGACAGCCTGTCGGCTCGAAGAGGGGCACACCGAGGACCGTCAGGTGGGTCAGGTACAATGGTGACTGGCTGATCCTCAGGGAGCCCGACAGTAGCCCACTGAAGTACTCGATGTATCTGAAAATTCCGAGAGGCTGTTATTACGCGTGAGGTCATACCGCCATTCCGATGTGAGCACTGTATTTAAATCTCATTCCGAGAGGTCCGATTATTTAACGGTCCTAGTGTTTAGAGGATCAAAAACGAATGTCATAATCAACGATCGACGATGCCCAGACACGGATCTGATGCAGGAGGGATTACGGGAGACGCGAAATGAGAAAACGACGGGACAAATTTCTACCGAGTCGCAGATGCGCGCCTGGGAGAACGTGACAAGTGAAATTGATGGTTCGAGCGACGGAAGCCTTAGCCTCCGTGACACGAAAAAGGTATGCATGTCGGACGAGCGGACAGATACGAATACGCGCGGGCAACATTCGACGGAGCCGTTGTGAAAGATACGCCCGGCGAGCGCGGCTCGGTAATGGATTCATACGCTCGCGAGAACGCAGCCACGCTAACGACATGCTAATGCTCGCGGCTCGCGGAATTAATGGAGGAACTCCGGTAGGTAGGACCGGAGGAGATCGTAAGGGCCACGAAGAGAGACGGTAGGACGAGTAAGAGCGCCGGAGAAGTCGCCGCGCGCGCGAATACCACTGCCGCGGCTCATTACGATCATTATGAATGCGTACGGCGACGCGGATGACGAGGACGACGATAAGGACGATGATGACGGTAATGATACGGCGGCCGCGGTAGCGTCGGGGTCGATGGCGCGTAATACGCGCGATAAACTGCCGGACAGCTCGCGTTTGTTTCGCTAAGAGGAACCGGTCCGAGGATATAAATCCTGGGAACGAAGAGTACAGGCACGAAAAGGCGACAACCGAAGGACGATTATTAAATCGTTGCGATCGAAATTGGGCTCCCGTGAGAAGATCCGGTGCAATGATTTGTATACAAACAGAGAGAGAGGATTTCTCTCTGAGAGTTTAATACATTTCACTTGATTCAAACAAATTCTTTTATCTACTGGCGTAATTCAAAGAAACCAATTTTTCATTCGATAACAAGTGTTTGGCTTTTAGAATAATTTCATTGTTTGCTCCAAATAATTTATTCTTCGGCTTAGGTAATTTATAGTTTGGTTCAAGGATCAGACATATCACGAACAATAATAAATTCCTGTAATACATTTTTATAATAATAATAATAATAGTAATAATAATAAATTCTTTAACAAATTTGAATACTGACTTCTCTTCTTGATATTTTTTCACTCGTTCGGATCGCATTTAAGTCAGAAAAAGCACGATTGATGTGAGCGCAAACGAAATCAAAAGAATCAGCCGCGTGTAAACTCGCGTTTCCTCGCAGTCGTTATAAATGCTCATGACAACAACGATGAAATAAACGATAAGATCGCCGATGATGATGATGATGATGATGATGATGACGGAAACTCCCTATCTTTAGATCAATGGTTCGTAGTACACGCGTACGTAGTACCGAACAACAAGAACACTAAGCGCGCAACATGACCGCGATCGTTTTATTCTGTTGATGCCATCTTCGCCCGGCGATCCTTGCGAGTAAACGTCGCAATCATGGTGTGAACGAAGAAATTATAAAGCCGCGTGTGAAAAAATCGATGATGCTAGGTTATTTTAAAGGATTCCGAAGAATCCTGAATAAAATTCCGGAATCCATCGCGAAGAGGCGATCGGATAGGCATCATGGTGATTAATAGCGGTAAAAGAACACGAAGGATGTGCGGAGAACGAGCAAGGATGATTGAAGATGATGACGACTCGATAATGAGAACTAGACATCTCAGGTCGATGGCGCGTAGAACAGATAACATACAAGATGACGGGAATGACTACTCAAGGACGTGAGGTGTCCTTCTTAATAGGACCGATACGGTAATAAACGTATACCAGTTACATACGCGTTTCTTCTTCCCGAGATATAAATTTGAAGATACTAAATGGCTTCCGCCATAAACGTCGCGCACGACGTTGTCGGTACGACCGCTTCTTCAGGCAAAACGTTCGAGTAATTCGCGACCGTTTTATCGAGCTTAGAATTACGCGACGATTTTTGCAGGAGACATTAAACGGAGGGAAAGACTTATATTTTTTTCCTTCTCTGCTATATATACACACACGAGATTACATTGTTACGAGCATCTCTTCTAAATTCCCAAACAAATGAAAACATCATCAGAATCATTTTAATGAGAGAAAAGAGAAACATAGACATTTTCAAGACGTCCGATATCATTCTCTTCTCAAAATTAAACAATAAAATAGGAAGAAAGGGAAGACAAAATTGACAAGTATCCAGGTACGATCGTCCAACCGAATATGGAGTACCGTAAAATAGGCTTACGAGAGGTAAGCCTTCACCGACGCGGTCGGTCGCTCGTCGTTAAAGGTGCCGACGAATGGAAATTAAAATAAATCGCGTGAGCGCTTACACGCGTAAAGCAGCACGCACCGGGACAGAGAGTAGGGAATAATAAAGTTATGAACTCTCGGCGCGAGCGATACGCTGAATACGCCGCACAAGAACCACGCCCGCGGATGAACGATTCCGCGACGTTATCAGAATTATTCGCGAGGACGGCCGCGCGATGGTGGAGAGCGAGGTTTATCTCCGCGCGTCAACAAGTAGCCGCGCACGTTGCGCGCGTACGCCGGCTTACTTTTCCTCTTTCTCTCTCATTACCTTCGATGCGACGGAACCTGCAGCGATCCAATCTTGTCGTCGAGGAATCTCCTCATGGCGAACCTGTCCAAGGCTTGATCGCGTCCCCCGCAGATGCTGCTGTAGTTCATGTAAGCGGACACTGCCACACCCAGCCGCTCCTTGCTGCCCCTGAAGAAAGAGAGAGAGAGAGAGAGAGATAGATAGGTAACGTTAATTCGGTATCGCGAGCTCACGCGCGCGTACCTTCTCCGCGGTATACGAAAAGATTTCGCCTCCGGCCGATCGCGCTTTAATGACGTTATTATTCGCGATGAATGGAAATGACTAACGGGAAGTTATGGGCGCGGAGAGTTTCGAAGGGGGCGGTGAACGCGCACACCACGGCGAAATTATGGCTTTTACGTTGGCCGACCGTTTGAGCATTGGCCGTTCTAAAAACTAGGTCACATTGTATTAATACGCGTGGAGGAAGAGAGTGAGATAATCTGGTATTTGCATCTCGTATCCTTCGAGAAACGTTCCCTTTTCCTTTCGAACCATTTGTTTTTGCTAATCATTTCTCGCAACTGGCTTCACCAAATAATGCCGCATTCACAGACAGGAGTGAAGATTGAGAAATTCAGCTTAATAATTTGAGCGACGACTCGGCGTTAGTAGCGGAAGGTAAAAGTGGAACTGTAGTAAAAATATGAGAGAGAACAGAGCGAAAGTCGTAAACTCACCTGGCGTGCAAGACAACGACGCGATTCGAAGCGCCGTTCAGCCAGGAGTCCAGTTCCTTGCAAAGGGCGCACAGTCTTTCCAAGCTCGGTGCTAATCCCTGCGGCCATCCAGCCTCCCTCGTGTTCGGCTCGCCGGGTCGGCCGGGCGACGACAAATTAAAGATCTGGAAGCACAAAATGTCCGACATTTCGACAAAATTGCCAAATTTCCCGGAGAGGGAAAGCAATCAAGGCGAGAGTTTTCTAAACTTCAATTTTCTAAGAGGCTTTGTACTTACTTCAAATGATTAAGGTAGCTGGTCCGTAAATTAATTTTTTTCAGGAATCTTTTTGAATTTTAACAACGTATTAATAATAAACATGAAGACGATAAAAGAGACTCTTATAGAAATATTATAGGAGAAACTCACAAGATCGTTGACTATTTAATTTTTCAGAAATTGATGTGTAAATTGATATATAAAATACACAATTTTTGATAACAATGGAACTAATTTATAGCTAACCTGTGAAGATTTGGCAATATTGTACACGCTATATTTTCTTTCAGTTATACCTTTCGGTTAAGCCGATTTTTGAAAGAAAGAATAGTTAATTAATTTTGAAGATCTATAATCAGTATGTAAAAATGCGAAAAATGCAAAAAAGTACATCACGATTATTTCTCTCGTAACATGCATTTATATGTGCCTATACTATATGGTGTCAATACTTATATTATAAATTATGTTTAAGGGAAATTGGGATCAACTGGGAGAAACTGTGGACCATAGGGCACTGTGGGACATTTTTGAGTTTGCCTATTTGAAAGAGTCTGACAATTATTGCAAATTTCAAAAAGAAAAGCACACGGTGTGACTTAGCGGGTCATTTACATACATCGAAAAAAGTCATTGTGAACAAGTAAAAAGAATCGTTTAAAAAAATCTGCTTATTGTTACTGATGCTATAAAGATTTCTTGATAATACTACAGTATCATAATTTTTCATAATTTTTCAATATCTCAAAAACCATTAATTCCACAGGTCTTCAAAAAAAATGTCCTACAATGCCCTGGTTTCCTTTACAGACATTTCACACAGATTTGTCAAGCTTCTTCGTGTTGTATTAGCCATTACCTTTCTAACAATATCGCCATGGACCAACTACCTTGAAATAAATTTTTTTCGATAATGTTATTTGTGGGAGATAAGAGGAGCAGCCAGACAAGTGTATTACGTCTACGATCATTAAACTATCCAATTTTCATCTTCAATGCGCGGTACTCTCTCCTCTTCATTTCGGAGAAACGAGCAGCGACGAAAAGAAAATACGGAAATTATCAGGCTTCTCACCATATAATTATCGGCGTGTTTCCCGCGCAAAAGGGTCGTGGCATGTTCGAGGACACCCTGCGCGTCCTCCCTGTACCAGAGAGCGATGATCCTCTCTGTGACGTAACAGAGCTCCATCACCTCCGTTACGCGACCTCCGCCCTTTCCCGGCCCCGTCATCGTCGAATCCGCGCCGACGCCTGGTGTCCTCGCAGGCGTTGACGCCAGCGCTGACGTCTGCACCTGTAATCCGATGGTTTACTTGAATTGCGCGACCAACGGATACGCAGAGAGTTATTTTATTTTCAGATATTGTAAACGATATGAAAGGCAAATCGCAAAGATGTTGTATGAATAATTGAAATTCACAATAATGCGCGTGTAAAAGTAATTTATCCGTCGTAGTTAGATGTTCTTGTATCTATAAGTGATTAAGAAAGTGTAATCATATCGGATCGTATCAATTTCTGAAACAATTTCCAAAAGAAGGCTTCCTCGCGAATAATTACGTTTCTCAGCTTTCCCGCGTTTCACCACTGTGACGAAATAAAAACCGGGATTTATTCCCAATGGCAAAGTTATATCATCCTCGGCAAATTGGATCGTCTAAATTCGTTTCCGAGGAGAAAATTTCGTCCCCAGTAGCTCCCGTCCCACTCGATCCTATCCGGAAACCTTTCCGCAAGATTTGTCTCTGACTCCCGCAAAACTTAGTTTCCCCGTACAAAACAATGTCGTGACGGACAATCAAATTTTCCCCACGGAAGACAGAACTCATTTTCTTCAGTCACCGCTCACGAATTCCCTCTGTTCTCCGTCGTTTTCCCCGTAATAGCTTCGATGCGCACTACATATAATCTATGTGAACAAATCACGATACGTAAGAACAGGATTTCCCTGGGAGGGACGAAACAATACTGAGAAAAAAGGTATCTCTGGCACTTCAATCGCAGAAGACGCATTAAATATATATTTTTTAAACGTGAAAAGTGCGACTTCTAAATTATTATTTTAACGCTTAACTACTACAAACCAAGTGTTTCTTCAACGAGTTACATCGATCGGATTCACTGAATAATGTATCACAGTAACCACTTCACAACCGAGCGGACGGATAATTAACAAATTCACGAGGATTCGCAGGAGTAAACTACGACGCGGCCGTCGAATAATTCAGCGACACGCGAAGTTAGTTCCATCCACCTTGGTGTACTTAGGCGCGTAGACGATCCTGACGACGATGTTCTCCGACATGGCGGTGTCCTGAGGACCGGAGGACACGTTATCGCGGGATGGATCGACATGTAATCCCGGCGCCTCAACGGGAACGGCCGTGTTTATCCCGCCGCGAGAGACGGGACGCGAAGATACGTCTCAAGGTGATGCGCCGTGCTCCTCGTCGTGGCACGATACACTGCCGGGTATTGTGTTTCGCCTGGTTCTGCTGGAGATACGCGGGAATATCCAGTGGCCGGTCGGCGGTTTTGTCAGATAATCGCGCCGCCTTCTGTTCGTGTACGTCTGACGTGTGCCAGCTCGCGCGTCCAGGGCCGGCCATTCTCGTTGAATTCATTTCGCGACACTTATTCGTGCGCCGTCATCGAAGCCAAGCGCCACCAGCTGGATTCTCGATTCAGCGCCGACTGACGCATCGCCAACCGCGCGAGTTGTGTCTTACCGCGCACAACAAAATATTTTGTGCTTGTGTCAAGATCGGTCCTTGTTAAAATTTGTGCGTTAAATTTTTCACATACTCGTGTGTTAATTCAGCACATGGTGTTTACGTTATCTCAATATATTTTGGCTCGAGTCGATATTCAACATGTGTAAGTATAAATTTTATATTTACTCGATTAATGTATTAATTTTCTATTAATTTTTGACATAATTCGTGTTACTTTTTAACACATTTATCCTGTTGAATAAACACAAAAATTTGCGTGGGTCGTTTGGGACAAAGTGAAGTGCGTTAAGTTTAACACAAACTTCTTTACTGTGCAGGCTTTGGAAACCGCACATTTCACAAACAGTAACATATCTTGATCTGACTTTTAACAATTATCGCAACGTGGGAGTCAATGTGATAAAATCTGAAAGTAAAAATACCCGATCGGTCGGCAATGTGACTAAGCGTTATCACGTTAGGTCGCACCGCTAGCAAACGGTTGGCGATGAACTCTCTCACGAGGAGTCAGTCTCGAATTGTACAACGCAATTCCCAGTGCGGTTCGAGGGTGTGTTCCGTTCACTGCGCTTGTCATTTTAATATTAATGAAGGAAGCGCGTTCTCTCTTTCGCTTTTGACACATAGCACGTGCCACGATGTTCTCGGATACCACGCGTCCGACGACAGATCTCTTCCTCTCGAAGTGATCGCTTGAATTTCTTCAGCTTGAGTCCTTCCATCGCCTATAAATTATCCCGGACGAAGAAAAACCGGATAGCTAGCTTTCATCGCGAACTTCGCTATTACTCGTCGGGAATACCTCTGTTCGCCGAAGCGGCCCTGGACGTGGATGAGAGAGCGCGCTCGCGCGTGGATGCGTGATGTAACGAATTCGTGCAGGTAGCGTGACTTCGATTTCCCACCGAAGTCACGCTATTTGCACTGCCAGTCGTGCTAGATCGTCTTAATACGATGCACGGGCCTCGAGAGACGCGCCGCGGAAGACGGGCGCGCGAGCGGATGATTTGTCGCGGAGAACGTGCGAAAATTATACGGAGAAGTACGCGCGCAAACGAGCCGGATGTACCTGCGTTTTTGCGACCGCTTGCGGTTACCTCCCCGCCGGACGGCACTCCGCGAGCACTCAGCCGGTTAGCCGAGAGTCATTTATCGGGCCGTGGCGGTCGAGGTACTATCACTGTTGAAGTGCCTTACCCCGTTATTGATGGCACTTGTTAAAATTATTCGCGTGATTTATGCGGGATTACAGTCGTACGTTGTTTGTTATCTGCCGCGGGCACTCGTCTCGCGTGTCCCGTCAAGGGATTTTATCCGAATTGTAGATAATCCACCGTTCAGCAGAAACGCAATGCAATCCGTAAGTCTGACAGGACGGCTTTCCCGTACTAATGTGCACATAATTTCTGACTGTATTCAACGATCCTCTTCCTTGGCCCTTTCAAGCGGTTTCGCCGAGATTCTGTCTTTGTACGTTGGACTACGGTATTACGACTAATTGTGGCGTTAGAATCGAAACGCCTGTGGCGTCATTGCGCGTTCTCGTAATCCGTTGGTATTTATATCGACAAATTGTTTGATATAATTTCAAAGGAAAGGACTAATAGGGGAAAAATAAAAGAAACAACAAATAATATTTGGATAGAGTAATAGGAGAAAATATTACGATGAATATAATATGCAAAAATAAATAAAAATTAACATAAAATAATTAAATAATTAACGAAAAGAAATAATAAGAAAGATATTTGTCCGTCTATGAAATATCGATAAAATGAAAAACTACTAAATTTCTCACGTTACATGTCTACACAGAAAAAAGTTCTAGATTCAAGAAAATTACCCCAATATTTTTTATGTTATACTCTAGATTTTTACTCGGATCAAACAATATTTGCTTGATCCAAGTAAAATTTTGCTAAGGAGTATTGATTTAATTATTTACTTGAATCTCTCTAGCATTTTTTTGTTTTGGTATAACGTTGAATTTTTTTCTCGAAATAAAGTTTACAAATCGATTCGAAATAGACAGCTGGAAGGTGCGCGCGTGATAACGGAAAGGTGAGGAACGAGAGCCGTCGGACTATTCGTAACCGAGTTCCAGAAATATACGGACAACAATGAAGGTGCGTCGCGGAAAAGAGAACAGAGCGAGCGGGGCGAGAAAACAAGAGCGAGGCGGGCACCTCTAAAAATACTTGGTTTTATGAGATCATAACGCCGCGAGTTCGTTTCCCGCGGGGTATGCAACCAGGCCTACTCGCCCATAAATCCCTTCGGCCGTTAGGCTCACGTGTGAAATTGCTATTACGTCGCGCGGTCCTACCGCAGCTGTCGCTACGCGGAAACCGCCCGTCTAGCTTCAAGTCCTTCGGCGTTTCTCGTCCGATCACAAAATCGGCCGAGATTCGCCTCTTTTGACCAGCAGGAGGCTGAGGAATCGAGGATATTACTTTTCGTTCGTCGGACGTTGGCAAAAATAAGTCACGAAGTTGCCGGATTGGAATCGCATGAGAGATGGATTATTGAAATTGAGAAAGTCAGAGCGAGATTGTAGAATCCGAAGACGTGACCAATAAGATGAACTGCCGTATAGATAATATATAGGGTGTCTATCGTTGAATAGGACATCCGTCATACATATTTGTAGCTTAAGTCAATGTGAAGGAAAAAGTTCTTTACCATTTTGCAAAAGTACTACTTGTAGATTAAGTCATTTTGAACAGAAAAGTCCTTTACCATTTTACGAGTAACCACGCCAATTTTTGAATTGTTAATTAAAAACGCTTCTGTACATGGCCGCTTTTAATAATTAATAATACGCAATAACTTAATAATATTTAACGCAGTAATATAGTTTGGTAATGATATTTAACGTGCTTTCAAGATTTTGATAATATTTAGATTTTTACCAGGTACCTCAATCGCAGGATGACGAAATTGAAGGATTTCAGAATGCTCGCGGAGATATCTGGGAAACCGAGGATTCGGCAATGCGAGTACTTAAAAATGAAACTGTGACCATTCGCTTGTACCATTAATCCAGCTCGATTATCGGGGCGAGAAGCCGATGTACGCAGCAAGCCGCGCCACTAATGTCAATTACCGTTAATCCACGTAATTGCTCGCGGTTAATTTCTAATTGGAAGTATGGTGCTCTCGAACGAGTGGGTTTAATCTTCATCGATTGTGTTTGAAGGCTGATAATGGTAACACGGTTACGTTAACCTGTTCTTGCCGTTTAATCTGATCCAGTATTTCGCCAGAAAGTCATTGCTATGGTGCACTGTTATAAGCGAATTGTTGCTGATAACTAATTTACGATGAAAAATAAAATGGATATGGGACGTGAGAACTTTTGAAAAATAAAAATATGTTATGATTTAAATCGTACGTTTTCATGAATTTCGAACGGTATTCTTTATTTCTAGGAAATAAAAGAAGGAAAAATTCTATCAAATCGCGTTGTTTTTTGCGGCAGGAATTTTTCGCGCGATAGACACAAATACGGCGCAATACGCGAGCAAAAGTGGCCGATGAGAATTCTCAATGTCACGGAAATAAGTACGAACGCGATAACAGCTGCGCAACAGTTTTTACTGCAAGCTAATTGCCATTCCATATAATTATCACTGCTCCCATCACGTCTCACCTTCACTATTCTTCGTACGGCCGTAAATATGATGTAATCACGAATGATAGTTTCCTGGACGAATCTACACGATTAATTAACGTTATTAAGCAGAATATGCCATTAACCTTGCCGATTGTTCTCCATCGCGAAAGCGGATGTCGAGTATAAATATTAATTGACGATAAAAATGTCCACGAAAAACCTACAATATTAAATAATTAAATATTATTAATAGAAATAGAACGACTCCTTCTGCAAATAATTATTACGTATCACCCAGAATATACGTTTTATTCCATACGTATGTATTCTACGGTATGCGCAGAAAGAAACGAGCAGTCGTCAAGCGACACTCGTCGTACTTTACACGCATACATTTTCACGGTAATGTCGCGGAGGTGCGTGCGCAGATAAATGCGGAGTTGCTCGAATACATTATCCATGTGGTATAGACGCGCCGTTCGGTACCGCGTCCGCGTATCGAAATGACCACGAGCGATGCCCACCGTCCGATCCGATAATGTAACGCGTCGTTTTATTAGTGTCTCGGCCGACAATTCCCGGCGACAACGTCGTTTGCGAGATCGGCCGAGACGCGCGGCTTGAAAATTCAACGGGATGATATGCCGTTCTCGTCATGCGGCTTTCATAACGCCCAGAAAGACTCCAGCCGCGACGCGGCAGATAGGTATCTCTGCGTGCTTGTCACGTGGATTGATTTACGGGAACCGATTCAGCTCGGTGGATAGTAAATAAGCGTGGGGAGAATGGAAAGAGAGCGGGGGGGG